TTTCGCCATTATTTAATAATGCGGGTTCAAGTCAATTATGAAGCATTGCTGAGGCTGGAGTCTGCCACGAATTTATTCCATGCTATAAAACGATGTGGGTTGCATATTTCTGTTCAAGCATCTCATGATGGAGTTAGTACTTTTACCCTTAGTTTTGTCATTTCACAACCCACGTTAATTGCTATTGCTTGCGGTTGTTATAGGAGAAATCATATTTCAGAAGATGGAATGTTGCAGAAAAGTGAGTGTGAATGAAGTGGAATGAAAATCGGACATTTTTTGAAGTTGGGTGGATGGGTGTGGAGCCAAGGTGGTGGAAATTTCTACTTCTTAATCTTTCAGCAAAATTCCAACATGGAATTCTGAAAATTGCCTGTAGTCCTGTAATATTTGACTTAAGACAATGTGTCATAGGATTCTCATCGGTATCGGTGTTTCACCAAGAAAGTTCTTCAATACTAATTAGAGAGAGAAAATGATGTACAAGGCAATTTTGCACATTAGAATTTTCGAGAAGTAAACAGAGTAGCATGGCCTTCAAGTGAATGCGAATTTAAAACTGATGGCCTCAAAGTGATGAAGTTTTAATTTCACTCTATGAACAGCATATGTCGATAGGGCCAACTGCAAGTGAATGAGCTTTTGTCATTTGAAATATGTTCAACTTGTCGATGATCCTCAAATGATACTACCGAAACTCATCTCGAGGCCGGTATCAGTTCGCTGTGAGACACGAATGAGTGCAGTTAGGTGCATTCACAAGAGATAAATGCAATTAATAGGTCACGAATTTGTTGAGCCAATTTCAATCAAATGTGGAAGCAATTGGGTTCAATCATTTATATTTGAACGTTTGTACACCACAACTAATGATAATAATAATAATATTAACAATATTAACGTAAACGCAATGACTGCAAAGAGCAACAACAAAATGCTAAATCAAACTTTAATCAGCACAAATGTGAGGCCAGAGGAATGTATGCATTCACAATTTCTGGAGCCATGAGGAGGACAGGATGCAACTGACGGCTTCCCTTTCCTCAAGATACCGTTTCGCCGACTTGACCACGGGACCACATTGAGGCCAGAGCTTACTTCAATTTGCAAGGAAATGTGTGGGGAAAGTTATGGAGCACTTTACTCCCAAATATATTATTCCAGTTAGAAATGTTTTATTATTGTCTTTCATTCAATAAGACAGATACGAATTTGTCCTTGGTATGGAGTAGTGTAGTAATGTATGTTGTCAAAAAGGCGAACACGATTGACAGCTAATATTTCAGTTCAACTGAGAGTTGAGAACGCATTTCTGTATTTTTCAGTACGCTGTTTCGATATTCCCAAAAATTGGTTATTTTAATCAAAATTCATCGATTGAAGTACATTTTAATTGAACACAAAATGTAAACATACCACTTTCCTGACCTCAATTGGCTACTACCGAGATTTCTCTCCACCTCACTGACTGCTTTCGTCACAATCGAAAATTGAATTAGTAATATAGAGTTGTCCCTATCAACATGTGCTGTTCATATTAGTGAACTTAGACCTTCATCACTGTGAGGCCGTCAGTTTTAAATTCTCATTCACTTACAGGCCATGCCACTCTGTTTACTTCTCGATAATTCTAAAGTGCAATATTGCCTTGCACATCATTTTCTCTCTCTAATTAGTATTGAAGATCTCTCTTGGGGATAGACNTGTGCTTTCTTTGTCAACGACAGGTGTTCATGCTGAACCAACTTTTCCGACTAGACTGCACACATTTCAGGAGATTATTGTGTTGATCGACAAAACATTGATACAATATTTCATACGAATGGTGGATTGTAAGTACAGTGTGCTAATTCACAAACACAAAAGGGAAACTGTAAGTGTGTCAAGCATACAGCAATGAAAGTATCTTTCTTCGATAGAACGTTGAGGCTGAGTATAATGTTAGGTTGCCATTGCTTATGGTGGTGATCAAGGATACCGATGACCATCCTAAAACACATTGTCATAAGGCACATACTACAGAACTACAGGCAATTTTGAGTGGACTCAATAAATATCTATTTACATCACCCCTCTATGGAATTATTTTGGGATCTGATGCACAAGAACGCAAACCCTATTTTTATTTGAACCCTCGGTTTGATAGAAAACATGTGGCTGCTAAAATTCCTTAAAAAATGTTCTCCTATTCATGGCTCGAGCACATGAAATTCAAAAGTAAACTGACCTTCATTTGAACTTAATTTCCAATTGCCAAACGTGTTATCAATAATGCACTTTTGTTTGGGACATTACAATTTTAATGCAGATGAATATTTTAGCTAGTCATAGGAAGATTGGTTTAAATGAATGAGCAAAGATGAAGGCTTTTCATCATATACTATTGCGGGGGTGTGTACGATAGACTTACCGACACGTGGTACACCCTGGGCAACGTATACTCATACGTCAAAAAAGTCTATTAACTGGCAGTTGACTTCAAACTTCCATAAACCCACTACATGTCATATTCGACCACTTCCACAGTGCTTGCCTTACCTTTTCACAACCTTTGTGTTTGTCCATCTATTTTACATCCTTCAATCACTATTCTGTTCTCACTTTGATGTTCCTCCTCCTCCTCCTCTCTGCGATGCCCAAAGTCAACCAAAGGGCTGACGATACATATCATTACGCCTGCCATTTACAATAGATAAATATTCTATTGCGGGGTATTGGTAGGTTGCTACATTCAATGCTGACTGATTTTCATGCTTTCCTATAAGCTCTTTGCATGCACTAACGCTTATTTGCTTTCTCAAGCACATGTTTTACTTAAGAACTTTCCGCATCTCCATTTGCGTGATTCAATTCCTTTTGTGTTATCGTTTGAAAACATTTTTATAATAAATAGTGTTGAAATCGGGTCATTTTTTACTCAACTGGGACTCTGCAAAGGCTAATTATTAAAGCGAACTAACTACAAGCTTTTATCAAATAACTGGGGTGGATATCCAGTATATTTATGGTTTCATTATGTGATCTTACATTAATTATTTTTTGAACTAAACAGCACCCTACATACCCTAATGTATGGGCAAATAAGAAAGTTTAATGTGCTTCAACGGAGCCAATATTACCTACTAGTGGTTATTGGCTATTAAATTGAGTTAATATTATTTCGTGTTAATATATAAAACAATAATGTTTTTTGCAATTCTTCAAAAGATTATAAATCGTATTACCTACTTCGACAATGACGCTCCAAGCTAAAGTTGTGAAAAGAATTAGTGTCTTCACTAAAAAAATTCCCAAGTTGATCAAAATATAGTGGAAAACAAATTTTAAATTCGCTTTCATAACCAAAAAGATACAATCACATTTTTTATATCAAAATAAATTACCAAACAGCAGAAGTTTTTAGTAAAATTTAAAAGATAGAAAATTAGCGCTTTGGGAGTACTAAAGTCTTTATAGTACTCTAAGGGTAAATAGTCATTGATAAAAGTAAGGTCTATCTGTTCTTTGTTTGCGTTATTTAATTATCCCGTTATCTGATAACAAAAACTACAGCACTAATCCAATTATAGGCAAGGAATATGTCAAAAGAGTAAAAAGGCTATAGTCCATGGTCGTACTGAATATTTAATTATTGTCATGACATTTTGTGTGACAAGGACAGATAGAATATAAAGGGGCATATCAAGATAAATTAATTGACTGTTGAATGCACTTGAAAAGTTGTCAAGTAGAGTTTTCTTTAGTTTCGAGTGGACGCTTACGTATTAATAGATAGACATTAAAATATCATGAAACCCTACTGGAATTAACATAGAGCTTTGCAAAGGTTATAACATTTTTATGAAAAAAATCGATGAAAGAATTAAAGGGTTGGCATAATTAGAAAATTTAACTTGTGTGCATAAGTGTATTTGTGAGAAAATATAACCAATAGACATAATGAAATGACAACGGTCAGGACTCTTATATAAGTTCATTGGCTTAAAAATCCCTAATACTATCTTGAGTCAAAAAGTTGGGTTATTAGATTAGAAATAAACAGAACAAGAATAATACGATAATTGACACCGTAAACGAAACTATTTTACTGGAAATACGGCGTTTTTACAGTTTAAATGAAAAACTTGGATGAAGATACATTGAACCAGTTCTTTTAAAAACTCAATGTAAGAGCACGTTTAATTGTGTTTCTAGGAAGACGCACTTGCTAAGTTTTATGTCAAAATGAATTGAAAAAATTGCATTAGCCTAAATATTTTATTAGTTTTGCTGGTGCGTTCAGCAGTAAATAGTGAAGAACCTCGACAACATACTCTTGTTTATATTACCGGTAAGAAATTCCGCACATTTGAAGTCTGTGTTCTTGTTTTGGTTTTTTTCGTAAGTAATGTTTTTTTTAACCTTGCACTTTTACTATACTATTTTAAGATATTTTGAATTATTAAATTCAGACATTCAACGATTTGTTGTTTCTTACATTTGAAGCTCAATAGGTGCCAACTCTCCCTCTATATTTTGTAGTAATATAATATGCAGCTATGACTACTCGAACTCCAACACATACTTATTCTCGTCTGGTAATCTTGTTTGTTCAAGCCTATCTTTTAGTTTGGTTTTATTTTTTTGTTCAATCTTATTTTGGGGACTGGTGCATTAGCTTTACCCCGAGCATTTAAAGACGCTGGATGGCTGCTTTCTGGAATTCTTTTAGCATTTATTGCTTTTATGAGGTAGGTAATGTTTCAATTTCATCCCGTCAATTTAGTTATGTTCCTGCTACTTTTGTCATCGAATCAATGGCCATTGGCAATGCTCTAAAACGAAGTCAACAGTCATCAAATAGGGTTGAAAATTATGCAGACGAAGAAGAGGAACCACTAACAGAGACGGAAATTAAATCGTCAGATTTCGAAATTGGCGATAAATATGAGCTGGTAAATATTTATTCAAAAGTGTTTTATATCCAATTTAGGGTGAACTCTTCCAGAAAGTTGCTGGTAAAGTTTGGACTCTTCTCTTTTATGTGACAATCTGCATATACATTTATGGGGATTTGGGCATCTACGCTGCTGCTGTCTCGAAATCTCTTCGTGATGTTACTTGGTAATCAAGACTATTGAGATCAAATTTAACTCTGTATGCTCTACCTTTTTTAACTTTGCAGTGGCTCCCCATTACCGTATTCACTATCTCTCCGTTACTAAAGAGCATTTTTTGGATAGCATTAAATTCATTCTAGGTAGAATGTTGACTTGATCGAACTCAGGCACTTGGGTGTGTTTCGGGCTTGTAGTTGCTTTCGGTTAGCGTTGTCTAAGCTATTTGTCTGCTCTTTGATAAATTGTTAAAGTGCCTAACCAAGTAAAAATTTTTTCACTATTTTTAGTAATACATCGGACAGTTCTTTGAATGAGACTGGTCCTTGCTGGTCACCTAAAGGGTTGTCTAGAGCCACAGTATATCGGCTTTATCTTGTAAGTCAGCCTTGTCATCGTTTGTTATGATCGGAACTCTTGCTTACGCCGCCTTTTGGCTTTTAGGGTGGATTCACTTGTGCTCTTGGGCCGTTCTTTTTCTTCAATGTTTCAAAGACGCGCTGGCTTCAAATGAGCACAATGATAGCCCGATGGGTAGCAATTATTCTTATGTCCTCTATTGCTATCGCTCGAATAATCGAGTTTCCGAACGTACCTCGATTATTTCTGAATGACACGCCGAGCCTTTTTGAGCCTCCTCCTGTACGCCCAAACCCTCCAATTGCCAATTTTAAGAATCTTCCTACCGCATTTGGGGTGTTTGTGTATGCTTTTATGTGTCATCATTCTCTTCCCGGAGTCATTACTCCAATTGACAACAAACGACTCCTCTATACTACCATAATGCTCCCGGTCTATGTCCTCATCTACCTCTGTTATATCATCCTCTCAGGAACAGGTGTCGCTGCGTTTAATTACATCCATGACCTCTATACCCTGAATTTCGTTCCCTCGGATGACGTAAACCTTCGACCTGGATTGGTACTCCTCATAGCTGAGTATTTCCTGGCTTTGTACCCTGTGTTTGCTCTCTCTTCTAATTTTCCAGTTATGGGAACAACCCTGTCAAATAACTTGGTCGCTGTTTTTAGAAGTCTTTGTCCATCAAATGAGCGAATTGGGTTGACGATTAGGTGGGGAGTTCCATTTCTAGCCCTCCTTCCACCAATTTTGATTGCAATGGTGGTGAACGATATTAGTCAGTTGGTGAGTATGACTGGATCTTTCGGTGGGATCTTCTTGATGTACGTCTTTCCGGTAGTTTTAGTCTTCTACTCTCGAAGGAAGATAGAAACAAGCCTAAAATTACCCACTACTCCTGAGGAGAGTGAATCAGAGGCGCTTGCTGGGCCATCGAGATCACAAGTAGTTAATCCCTATCAGTCTCCGTTTTCGCACATTCTTTGGTTGTTGATAATTGTCGTCTGGGCGGTTTCCTGCCTCGTCTTGGTGATTTTGAACAAATTTGGAGTGGTTTGGCTGTGAAAATCGCATAATCAATCTGAAATTTTTGTCTTGGTAACTATTTAATTTATTGACTTTATCTAATTTTCATCCATTAATATACCATATGTTCATATTCTTGTACTTTTGTACTTTTGATTTAATACTTCAAAATGTTTGATTAGAAGCTGTTCATATTACTGTCGTGATAAACGATCAGAACTTCCCACTTGAGATGTCTCCTAGTATTTTGAGAAGTATATATTATTTATATAAAATGGCAGGCGTCTTGATGGTTATCATTAGCCCTTTAGTTGACTTCAGGCTTCATAGAGGGGTAAGAACATCAAATTGAAAAAAAGTTGAGAGGGGGGAACAGAAGAGTGGTTCAAAGATGTAAGGGAGACAGACACAAAGGTAGAAAAAAGGTGAGGTGAGTACTCTGAAAGTAATCGAATATGACATACAGTGAGGTGATGGTAGTTTGAAGTCAGAAGTCAACTACCAGTTACTAGACTTTTTGCCGTATGAATATACGTTGCCCAGTGAGTTATCATTTTAAGCCTCAAAATATAGTATGCAAATGTTTCATATGTGGTCTTTGATCAGTAGGGCGTAGTTGGAATAATTGCATTCTAGCTTATCTCACAGGATTTAATTTACTGGAGGGAGTTCCCTCTTGAATGCCAGCACTGGGAGAGTTACCATCATTCATCACACTAAATTTGTAGAGAAATGTTTTATATGAGAACAATGACGAGAAGTCTTGGGTGGGGGGTGGGGTAGGAATATACACCTAAGATCACAACAAGTGATTCAAAGTAGAACCCTTATGGTAATTGAGGTTATAATCAGGTTTAGCCACTAACCGTAAGGTCAAGGGATAACTAAAGTTGTATTATTGAATGGTTTAACTACCAGTCTCAGTTTATGCAGCCGAGAGTTCATAGACTATTGGGAACTAACTCGCACAAAGGGTGAAAAGATGTATCAATTCCTGAGGCCCCCCCCCCCAAGGGTACATTGATGGGATATGAATGAGAAAAATTAATGATTGGGGTCAAACAGGATGAGGGGAAATTAAAATTTTATGCTCCTGGGTTTAAATACAAGGACGAAACTTAAATGTTAATTCGTCTACCCCAGTTGACTTATCTTGGAATGGAAAAGGTACAGTTGAGTTTATACCGTTTGCAGAACTTTGGACCTTGATCATTGAAATGCGTTACTTTTCTGGGGGCTGCTCTAACGAAGAAACTAACATTTTTTTGTGATACATAAACGATTTAATTTACTTACAAGTGGATAAGATATTCAAAGCCTTGCTTCACTGAATTCAAGAGCCAATTTAAAGAAAAGCAAAGGCACGCCAGTGAAGGAGCGAAAAGTCGATATTCCGAACATCTGCATCGATTTTGTAGGCATTTTAAATCATTTTTCATTCTCCCACTTCAAGCCGGCGGGAAAAAACTTAGGATCTAGTGGGGAGTACACAACCCTATCATGACTTTACCAAGGAATCACGTGGACGCTCGAATAATCTAAAACCGTATTTAATGACTTAATTCTGTGTGTCTTCTCATCATATGTTCTGCTTCTCGTTATTGTTAGGTTAGACAATTTCGGTAACAATTTTGCCATAGAGATTACTGAGGTTTAGTCAACGTTTATTCGTGCAGCATTCGCTGCAATGGAACGAAAATGATTCATATCAAGATCTAAAGCGGCGGAAATCGTTCTAACTAATTTGAAAATCGGAAGAATTTGTAGCGGATTGCTACCTTAGTAAAGCCTGACTGAC